CTCTAGGAACGTTCTCAGTCACTGTATATCCCTGGATATCTTTTTACCAGTAGAAAAGGGTTGGGGTTCACTCACAATTGCGAAGACTACATACCTCCAGACAACTTGTAGAAACAGTTCTCCAGGTTAGCTGATCGTTCTAGAAAGGAAACGTTTCTCAGAATGTTCGCTGTGCTATCATAAGTCGTGTGGTGAGCTCTCACGACATCATCATTGCGTGTATGATAATCAAGTGTATACGACGGCCCCCTCATTTTAGAAATCATCGTCCCTCGAGGCCCGCTCCGCTCCCCCGCCCCGTCCCGGTGGCCCGGGGGATTGTCGTCGTGGCCGTTACGCTGCTGGAGCGCCGGGGGCCGGAGCCAGGGGCTGGAGCCCCCGCAGCCCCTGGAGCCGTTTGGTCCCCGCTGGAATGACGCGCGGCGCAGTCCGCTGGATTTGGGGGGGTCCTCTCTCGGCTCGGCTCAATGGGGTGCCGGCGGCCGGCCGGGCCGGGCGCTTGGCCCTGCTGCAGGCGGTAGTAGTAGTTGTATGTAGTCCGTTCTATAAATACCCCGAGACGGCCGGGCACGATCCGTTACGCCCGCTTTATTTGCTAAATCCACTCTAAACCCGTTAAATCTACGCTCGCGCCCCGGAGAGGGGAGGGGAGGCGCCTGGTGGACCACCCTGCGCCCGCCCAACATCTCTGTTTCTGTCGGTCTGCTGCCACTCTTTCCCTCTCGCTCGTCCCCTATAGGGTGTGCCCCCCCCCTCTCTCTCCCTCTCTCTTTCGCTCTCTGGGACCCGACATCGTTAGCAATGTGGACCGGCCCCGAGCACCCGCCTAATGCGACCCAGTGCGTCGCCTGCCCTGCCACACCTCCCGCACCCCCGCCCTGGCTTACACCCTGCCCCTCGGCGAGCCTAGCTCCTCTCTCGCTCTTGCCCTCGCTCCCTTGCTGAGCACGCATAAGCAATCAGGGTCTCGCCCGCATGCCGCCCCGCGCGCTGGTGCCGCGATATCGGTCAATTCGATTGTCTTGTTGTGCCATGGGGGCGACACCTTCGCTGCGGCCGCGAGCGGATGGGGGAATATCACGGGGCAAAGAAAGCGAAAATCCCCGCTTGTGTGGTTTTGCGTCTTTTTATTTTATTCGTTGTGCGTCTCTCGTCTCTCGTTTCCCCTCTTCTGGCTCCCTATCGGCCGGCCGCCTGGTGGGTAGGCCGGCCCGCACGGCAGCCGTGTCCTCGCGTTGCCTACCCTCTGCCCCTCCCGGCCGCCGCGCCGGAGAGCCGGGCGCTCCTCATATTGGGGTTATCACCGTCTCCTCCAAGTTTGGACGGACGCACTCTGTGTGTTGTGTGTGCGTAAGTGGTCCCCCCTCGATGTAGCAGTGGCTGTCGACGCTTATACTGCGGACTCTGAGCGCTCGCTAGTGTGGCGATAGGAGACCGTCGTCGTCGTCGTCGTCGTCCTCGTGTCCAGGAGGAAACGCTTTGCTCGCCCGCCGCTATGTGTTCGTGCCCGCCATTACCCCCTCCCCTCCCAAACACTTATTGCGTATAACTGTCCCCGGGGCTGGGCTGGGGTGGGCGCCCCCGCCCGAGGGCCGTAGTGTAGCAGACGACGTCCCTGTATGCCTTTGGTGCTCGGCGGGGGCGGGGCGGGGCGCGGCGCGGCAGGGCGAGCTCCCCCTCGTCTATCCGTAACTACTCGCCCATTCGTTTTACAGCCCCTATTCCTCTCTCTCCGCCTCCTCCTTTTCAACTCCCCCCGTCGCCCCGGCCCGCCCTGCAGTCGGGTAGATCTCCTCTCCTCCTACTCCTAGGCGCCGTCGCCCCTCTGCAGGATTAGGCCCCGCTTGTCCTAGGCGCGCGCGCGCGTCTCTAACGGCTAAAGTCTGCGCGCCGCTCGCCGGCTGGCTGTCTATTTGGCCCTGCTCTTGATTGGGGAAGTCAACATTGACTCTTCCCCGTCACCCCGTGTCGTCGTCGCCGTTCGCCCGCCGCGCCACTCCGCTCCTCCTCCTCCTCCTCCTCCTCCTCCTCCTCTCCTCTCCTCTCCTCTCTCCTCTCTCCTCTCTCCTCTCTCCTCTCTCCACTCTCCACTCTCCTCCCTCCTACTCCCTCGTCCTTCTTTCTCCTTCCTCCGCCTCCCTCTCCGACGTAAACACGGCAGCACGCGGTACACTCGGTGTCGAAAGTGAGAACAAGGCGGTGAGCTGCACAGTCTCTCTCGTGTCAGACGCCAATTGGACGACGTTCTCGCCCTCCTCCCCTTACTCTGGAGGAAGGATCTGCATATCCATCCGCCCCGAGATGGCGCCCCGGCGGCAGGCAGCAGCCGCGCCGTCATGTCGTCAATCTCCTACCCCCTTCTCGCTCTCAGGGGGCTCTGGCGGCGGCGGTGCAGCAGACTGCCGCGGCAATTACAAAAGGCCGTTGACGACGACAGACAAGTTTGAGAGCGAAAGGGGGGGAGGGAGGGGGGTGGATGCAGTTATGCGACCCGCACCGCGAACTGTCGCGCGCGCGATGCAGATCTCTCATTCGCTCTCTCTCTCTCTCTCTCTCTCTCTCTCTCTCTCTCTCTCTCTCTCTCTCTCTCTCGCTCGCTCGCTCGCACCCCCTGTCCCTTCGTTAATATTCTCGTTCGCCGCCTTGCATAACTCATTACAAAAGTACATCGACAGGCGACACCGACCGGCAAGTGCTCGCGACTTTCTACTTGAACACTGATTCGTACACTTGCAAGTATTCAAGTCGTCTGTTGAACACGATCCCACACTGCGTGCGCCAATTGCGAGGTAGTCTCCCTTCAAACTTTTTAGTGTGCAGCGTGTCGACACACTCCCTGCCCCCCCCCCCCTTCTCTCTCTCTCTGTCTCTCTCTGTCCCTCTCTGTCTCTCTCTCACTCTCTCGCTCGCTCGCTCTTTGTGTCACTCTGTTTCCGAACCACCCGCCTTGGCCCCTGCCACTTGCTAGAGTAAGGGCGAAAAGCTTTGGATAGCCCCCCCCCCCTCCTCTCTATCTGAAAAATCGACAGCAGTTTGCCAGTTGAAGTGAGAGACGCGGAGCCAACTTGTCAGAATATCGGGGCGCGTGGAGGCGGTCGGGATTGACGCATTTTGCGCGACGCCAATGTGGCGCTACGTGAGGCGCCGGCGCGCGACGCCGCCCTCTTCCCAGATTGACGCGCCTTGTGTACAAATCTCTCTCTTTCTCTCTCACTCTCTCACACCCCTCTGATTGTTATCCGATCGGTTCTCCGTCTCTTTCGTCATCATTTCGCTGCTTGTTTCCAGCGATGAGAAGAGCAGGGAGGGCCAGGGCTGCCGTCGTCGTCATTGCCGCATCCGGGCGTGATTGTCCCCCCTCCCCTCACTTGTTCTCTCTCTTCTCTCCGTATAAAAGCAACGCGCGACGCTGTTTAAACAGGGAGCGATGGTTGCCAAAAGTGGCTATGTATCGCGCCAAATGGAAGGACACACGTTTTGCATGCGGCGGCGGCCAGCAGACGCCGAGGCGGCTGTAAATACACGGCGACATGCCCGGACATTTACATAGTGTCGGGAGCGGCGGCCGCGTGGCGCCTGCGCGCGCGGCCCCGGCGTCCGGCTGCTTGCAGAATGCAATTATATCCCCCCCCCCCCACCCTCTGCCCCTCTCTCTCCCTAGGTAGCAGACGGGTGCAAAGCCGGGAAGCAGAGAGGATGGATAGGTCATGATGCCCCCTCCCTCCTCTCACCTGCCCCTCTTCACCCCCCCCCCCTTCTCTCTCTCTCTCTCTCTCTCTCTGGGACTCGCCCGTTCCTTCCTTTGCCACCTGATCCGCATAAGCCCTGGCCTGGCCGGCCGGTGCCGTGCTGGCTGCTTGCGCCCGCCGCTGCCACTGGCTTCAGCAGCACCCTCTCATCATCGCCAAGAGCTCGTGGTCTCTTCCTACGAGTTTCTGAACTCTACCCGTTTCTTTCTCTCTTCTCTCTCTCTCACTCCTTTCGCGTGAGGGTTTGTTTTTCCCAGCAAACTGCTATCCGCTCTGCTTTAAGAAATTGATCTCTTGCTGATGAGGTCTTTTCCGTGTAAATTTTGCCCCTCCTCTGCTCTTTTCGGTTCGGTTTTGATCGCTCCGTAACCGGCCGCGCCACGATGGAATGCGTGTACTACATCACGGTACGCGGTGGCGCCTACCTCAAGATGTGGGGGGGGGGGGGGGAATTGGGATGCAGGTTCGCCAGCCGACACCCTCGTCCCTCCCCCTCTTCTGCTCCTGCCGTCCGCCCCCGCTCGCTCCGAGGTATCCACCCTCTTATCCACCACCACCCCAACGGGATTTAGCCGTTGGCCGTTGAGCTGCACCCTCCTTTGGTGTGGTTTGCCCCCCGCCCTCCTCCCCCGCCTCACGCCTCCAACTCCATCCGGCCCCGTCCACCGCGCCCCTTGTCTCCGTCCGTCTCGTCTTAGTTCCGTCAATATCAGCCGCGACATGACTCCCCGGGCCCGCCGTAGCCTTCGCCCGGCCGCGCTTTGCTCGCCCCGCCCGATCCCTTTCTTCTAGTCGCCTCGCTGCAACGGCTTTTTCTCGGTCTTACATTCGCAATTTCTTCCTCTTCCCTTTCATTTTTCTCCGCGGAATCCCTTCCATTTGTTGTTTGTTTCTCTCCTCAACCCAGCCTCACACCACCACCCCCTCACCCCGCCCTCCTAAACTTCTCCCGTAAACGGGCCCCTATTTATATTCTCTATAGCTGTCTCTGTCCGCCTAATGGTTTGCGTATATTCTTCTTTCCCCCGTCCCCCTCTCTCTCTCTCCCTCTCGTCTTCGCGACATCCAGATTCCATTGGGGGTTAGTTTGCATTTTTTTTCCCTCCGCTCTCTCGCCTTTTCTCATTCTCCTTTCTCGACGGCCTTAACCCGTATTACGGAAAATTAAACGAATGCGGCTGTCTGGATGAGGAGGAAATAATAAAGCGGAACCGCAAAACACAAACTTGTAGTCGTGGCCACTGCTAAATGTATGTACGTTTCTGTTCCAGGTCCTAGTGTCGGGCGCCAACCAGGCTCTGGATTACGAGTCCGTCGTCGTGGACCCCGGGCACACTATTCTCCCGGATACCACCCTGAAGCCCAGCGGCGACTTCCTCTACGTCCTTTCTACGTCCAAGGTACGTGTTGTTCATAAGAAAAAGCGTCTTTCAAGAAACGGGATAGCAGATGAGCACACACACACACAGCGTCTTTACTTCATCTTCTTTTTATTTCGTATCATTATTTTGTGTCTAATAACGTGAAGGACGCGGCGCAGATTATGTGTAGTGTTTCTCGCGATGAGCGTTGCGTGTCGGCCGCTCTCCCGCCCCCTCTTAGTTATTTTCCCTCATCTTCGCTCTCGACTGCCTCCCGCACGCGGTATGGAGAGAGACAGAAATATGCGGAGAGAAGAGGGGGGGGCGTAAAAGTTGAACCCCGAAAACTTTTGTGTGACTCTTCATTAGGAAAAGGCGGGTGCTGCATATTTCACGAGTATTTAAGAAAGGTATGAGGCCGCCCCGCAAGTTTGCGCTGCTGCTGCTGCTGCTGTGGGTGCGCACATTAGCGGCGAAATACCATTTTCATCGCTTATAGCAGCGCTCCTCGCCTCGGGCGGGTTGGCGTGGGCTGGCTCAAGGATGGTGTGACCCGAATTTTGGAAAAGAAATGCGGGTAAGGGGTCAATCGCGACGTGTATAAGGTTTTGACTCGTGTAACGTTAAGCTGTGTATTGCCAGGGAAAATTTGCACTTTTATGGTAACTAAAACGTCATTTAATTTGAAAAGGGATCAAGCGGCCAATTTGCGTTGCGTTACATACTCCATCCATTGCCCTCAAACAGTTATTGCGGCGATGAGTATTTTGCAAGCCTCGTTCGCTCGTGCTCTCCGTCTCTTTCGCTCTCTTTTTATCTGCCTCTCTTTTTTACTCTATTCTTTCCGCCGCTCTGCTATATTCTCTGTTTTCGCGTCTCTCTCGGCGCTGTGTGCTTAGTCTTGTCACGTTTCTCCCCAATCATCCTCATTACTCACGTCTCTCTCTCCGTGCGCTCTCTTGCTCTCTATCTTTCTCGCTCTCTCGTTCCTCTCTCGCTCTGCGGCTACCTGTATGACCGTCGTGGTGTAACCCTTCTGTTCTTCTTGTGTTGCCCACTGTCCCCCCCCCCCTTCTCTCCCTCTCTCTCTCTCTCTCTCTCTCTCTCTCTCGCTCGCTCGCTGGAGTGCAGTACCGAAACGAAACAATCGAGCGACCCGTCCTGCGGGCGCGGAAAGAGGACGAAACCTTTGAATTGACTGTGACGCGTGAAGTTTCTCGTGCAGTGCCACACCGTTTTCCAGGGTCGGTCGGTGGGTCGGCCCTACTCCTGGAGTCCCCCCTCCCCTTCCAGTCGGTGGTCACACGGGCGGAGGTCACCCCGTGACTAATGGCGGGCTAATGAGTAATGACTGGCCGCTCACCCCGGTGGGCTCACCCTGCCCACCCTTACCCACCCTTGCCCACCCTTGCCCCACCCTTGCCCCACCCTTGCTTACCCCTGCCCTGCCACCTCCCCGTGTGAGCTCCAGCGCGCAACCCCACTACCTCCGCCACGCCACACCGCACTACGTGGACCGACCAAAACCTCCGCCCAACAGGAGAAACCGCTAGTATATAGCAACCTGCCCGTTGTTTAAGCTCACGCGTTAGTGGTAATTTTTGTACTTTTCTTCCCCTTTGTCGCGCAGTGTAGTAGAGTAGAGCCGACCCCCTCGGTGACCAGTGACCATGCACGAGGTGCGATTGCGATTGTGTTGTGAGAGGGAGCTGACCAGGCTGCCCTGGCGGGCTGCCTTGGCTTTCTCGCTCTACATGGCCAGCGCGGCGCTGATGTGATGTGTGCTCGCTCCTGGGCGTTGCTTTCTACTGGACATGTGTGACGCTGGTAAAAATGGAAACAATCACCCCGCCTTGCATCCAAAGTCAAGTAAAATCGTCAGGACAAAAGTAACCATTTTTGAAAGGTTATTTTTTGGAGAGGGTAGTATGTTACATTCCATGGTGCATTTGCCGTTTCTGTTGCACATTAGGCTGCTTGTTGCGAGGAGCTGAGCTCCGCGCGGCGGCGAGCACGACCCGGCCCAGCCCAGGCACGGCCGACTCAACATCCTCCTCATATCATATATACGTGCTTTGCAAATAAATGCTTGTGGTCTGCAGAGCGTCCTGTTTCCGTCCAGCTTGGCGGAGGCTGGCGCGAGGGGGGGCCGAGGAGGGGGGGGGGGGCAAGGGCACGAGGGGATTGTGTCCACGAACCTGCTGGTGCCTCTCGGGGGAGGGAGGGTGGGAGGGGGGTGACGATACCACCCTTCCCCTCTCCCCCGGAGGGGTAGGGGGGGGGCGTGGCGCGGCGTGGCGCAGCGCTCGCCATGAGGATGAGGGGACCACAATCCCATTATTCCGGACCTCTCCCCGCTCTGTTCTTCTTCATTCATGGAAAATTGCTCCCAGTTGTCGTCGCGGCTGTCGTTTTCTTTGTCTTTCCCCCCTCCTCTTTTTATCCTTCCTTTTTCTGCCTCTCGCTCTCTCTCTCTCTCTCCTCCCGCGCGGCGTCGTTGGCTTAGGTCGGCGCTGCCCGCCCCGCCTCGCCCGATGCTTGTCCTGCTCCGCCGTGCCGAGAGGCAGCGGCCAGGCGCCGGCGCTGGTGCTCGCCCGTCCGGAACATTCCGACCGACGTCCGACCGGGCTGGCTGGCTGGGCCGACGGCCGCGGCGGCGGCGACCGGTGGGCTTCGTTTTTGCATGCACGGTGTGTTTCGCGAACGCCTGCTGACCGGCGCATGTTTCGCGCACGGCCGGTATGGTGCGGTTGTATATTATGAGAGAACAAAAAAATTAAACTCCGAGTGCCCTATAAACATCGCCCGCGGTGACAACAGCGTTTTGTAATTACGAGAACCGTATATCACATTGCGGAGGTCTTGCCGTCGTCGCCGCCGTCCGTCCTCTTCGTGCTTGCGAACGCGCTGCTGAAAGGGGCGCAGCACTAATATTAGACATTATGTCTGCAAATATGCGCGCCGTTGCTTAGCTGCTGCTGTTGCTGCTGGCGAGCTAGTTTGTTGTGGCGCTGGGTATGATCCCCAGGCCGGGGGAAGGGGGGGGGGTCTATGGCGGCCGAGCCGTAACGCCTCTCGCCCCCGCTGCTAGAGGTGGTGTTTGCCGTCGAAGCATTTATAGTGTATTGCGTATAGTGTGTGGGGTGCGCCGACACACTCTGGGGCGCCCGGGGTGCAGCCTCTGTGAGCGTGTGTGTGTGTGCGTGTGTGCGGATTCTATTTCGGAACCACGTTGGGGAAAGGGCCTTTTCTCTCGGAAATGGCACATGTGGGGGATCCTGAGGGGGACGGACTGGTCCGAGCAGGCGTCGGCGTCGCGTCGGCGACCACCCAGGGCGGCCAAGAGGGCGGGCGGAGGGGGCGGCGTCGGTACGCCGTAAAATGAGCGTCGCGACGCCCCTGCCTTCTCTCTCTCTCTCTCTCTCTCTCTCTCTCTCTCTCTCTCTCTCTCTCTCCTCCCTCTCTCGTTCTCTCTCTCTCTGGTTCTCTGGCCATCTCTTTGGTTCTCTGAACTTCGAAAGGGAAAGGTCGAGTCGGGTCGGTGGGGGAAAAAAATGGGTTTCTGTTCTGACGTATGTGGAAGAGGACCTGGCCCGACAGGGGTTCAAATACCGGGAGGGGTTCTCGCTTTTATAGCTATCGGGTCGGAGGTGGAGCAGAACTGGGGTAAGGTGGGTGCTGCTGCTGCTGCCTGACACCTCGCAAACAACTCTGCCGTGGGCGAGGCCGTGGCCGGTTGATTTTGCCGGTTGTGAGAAAATTCCAAAAGACCGCCATGATGCTCACAATGAGGAAGGAGCAGGGTCGGGCTCTGCTGCGTTTCTTACTCTTCGCTAGTCTCTCCTTCGAATAGACGTGCTACATTACGCGGCGCACACTGGCACACACTCGCGAACATGGAATGTGTGTATCGTGCTGCTGACCCGGGTCACTGCGCGCCGTGTGTGGGGACGGGGCCAGCAAGGTACGGGCCTTCGTTGTAGTTCGATCCATGCGAAGGCGATTGACCTCTGGGGGGGGGGGCAGTCGTTGAGGGCCAGGGCCTTGCTGCAGCGGCAAAATCCTATATCCTGGAGGGGAAGTAGGAGTTGGACTTGCGTCGTCTTGCTTATCTCTAGAGAGCGGGGCCGAGGGGGGGGGGGCACGGGGGGCGTGTGCGAGACGTGTACCATGAGAGGAAGAGAGAGAAGGGGGGGGGGGCGGGGGAGTTTTGGTGGGTTCATTCTTTCCTCCGTAACGTTCCCGCGCACATGACATGCCCGTGTCCCGCGACGACCCGGCGTGGCGCACCTGAGCGTGGCGATAAGACGTCGGGCCCTCCCTACAGGGTGGATTATCTCTCTCTCTTTCTGCCTCTCTCTGTTCGCGTTCCTCACACAACTCTGTCTCCACGCCCCCCCTCCCCCCCCCCTCTCTCTCTCTCGCTCACTCTACTGTCCCTTCCTTTTTTCCGCCCCCGCGTCTCTCTGTCTAATGAAACAATTTCAGTGTTGACTTACTTGGCCGAGCTGAGTTGTGGGTGGCTGGGATGGGAGCGGAGCGTGGCGCGGCGGCGAAAGGAGAAGAAGGATTCATTCCATTTGTGTGAGCAAGCCTGCAGCAGCAGCAGCAGCACAGCCTTCTCCTTTCCTCTCGATTTTGTTTTTTGGGGAACGAGACGAAAACAAACGAGCGCTACGCTGCCGCCACCGCGCCGCGCGCACTCCTTCCTCTCGGGGTGGCCCACTTTCCAGGAAAACCGGGCCACTAGGGGGGAGACGGACGGTCTGTGTGATGGCGGCGGCGGTGGTGACCTTGAACCCCCTGGGACCCTTCGTGTAGTTGACCGCGCCGCGCCCCGCCGGAACCAATCGCCGATTGTGAGTGGGTTCAACTCGGTGCACGCGGCCGGTGTTCAGAACGGTGTTCACACCCGTGTTCAGACCTGGTTTTCAGTTTTCGGTTCGGTATTCAGACTAGTGTTTTCTCCGGTGTTCAAGACTGATGTTAACTCCGTTGTTCAAGACCGGTGTCCAAGACTTGTGTTCAGTCCGGTGTTC